TAACGGTTAGAGAGGATCAGTTGCTTAAATGATTTCATGTCAGTGTTGTATTTATGGTTTTACAATAAAACAACCTTTAGGAAGATGGCAGAGTGTGCTGTTCTTTTCTTGGGTTGGGTTGCCATGCCATCCGCTTAGCAGGACACCTGCAGGGCAGGGCAGGGTGGAGATGGGCCAGCAGCAGGAGGCAGCTCAAGTCCATCCCACGGGGGACACTACGCAAGGTGGGGCTGTCGACTCCTTACCCAGAACCAGACCTGACCAGCTCAGCCGTTTGATGGAAGAGGTGGAGACACAACCATGGAAGGTGTGCCCCATGGCCATGCTCATGGAGGGAGCGCTGTTTTTCCTTGCAGGAAGAGGAACGGGTTTCATCCCAGTCCTACGGGCCTAATGCCTAAGGCACATGCCCAAGGCTGCCCTGCACCATGGTCACGTGTGGGGCAAGTGCAGCATGCGGGGCAAGTGTCGTGAGAACTGTCCATTTCCATGGGGAAGAGCATCCATGGCTGTACCAGATTCCTGGTAGCACTGGGGACTTGAAACAAAATCAGCGACCTCCGCGGTCGGTACGGGAGACCAACCGGGTAGCTTGCTCAGCGCTATGAGGACATCAGCTCCTCTCTTTAATAGAGTCAAGCCGATGCAAGTTGCAGAGATGACACCTCCCTGCCACCTGTGTGCCTGCGCAGCAGTGGGAGGGCGACAACTCCTAAAGAGGTGGAAGTAAAGGGACGACTGCCATTTCGCCATCAAGGTGAGTAAAGGACAGACACCCAGACCCTTGATCAACTGCTGTCCAACCAAATGTGGGTGATGTTAATGTTCAGCACACACGTGTGTGAGTTTAGAGATTTTTGCCTTAGGGCACATGCACTTGCTAGAGAGAGACAGTGAGAGGGAAAGTGAGAAATCACCCCCCAGAATGGCCACACTGCAATTCCTTCCTCTCCCAGGATCTTGGGCACACAAGCACAAATGCCTGGCATGATTTTCAAGCCACCAAGTGTGAGACTTGACCCACAGTTGGCCATGTGGGAGTTCAATGACATAACTGCTATGCCATCTGCTGATCCCTCTTTCAGTGTGTTTTGATGTGTTGTTTGAATCATCTAAAGAAATTCCACCTAATTGCACTTGTAGCAGTGTGTTGAGGCTGTTAGAGCCAAGGCAGCCTCCCAAGGGCATCAGCCCTGCCCACAAAACCATCCCTCTGTGGGAGTTTCAGGCTAACTGATCTGTGTGGACGTCCCCGAGTGTGGTTGAAGTTTCGTTGCGGCATTTCTATGCAGTGTAAGGGGAAAAGTGCCGTAGCCAGAGGGCTCCTTCCCTGCTCTCTTGAACATCACAAATGAAGTCAGGGGGTGGCTCAGGGGCCCTCACAGCTGAGAGGCCAGCCTCTGGATTTTAAAAAATTGTTTAAAAAAGGGAAAAAGTGGGCCAGCCGTTGACATGGTGAAGGCAGGTGAATCCACAACCTGGCAGCTTGAAAAAGGCCAGGTGCATGTGTGTGCGTGCCCAGGCTCCCTAAGGGAGTAGCATTTAGAGAGGGAGTAAAAGGGACTGCCGCGTGGCTATGCCCCTCACTTCTTTTTTTAAAAAATTATTTTATTTAACTTAATTAATTAATTTACTTATTTCAATTTGACCAGAGGAGGGTAGAGTAAGAGAGAGAGAGAGAGAGAAAGCTGCCAGGTCCGGGACTTGAACACAGTCGGCCATGTGGGAGTCCAACACCCTTAACCACCAAGCCACCTGCCAGCCCCTCCCCTCACTTCAATCTCTGGTAAGTGCATGCACCCTCTCACAAATTAAAAAACAAATAACAAAAAGATACGTTTCTTTATTAACCAGCCACGTGTATTTGTAGGTTTTATTATTTTATTCCTGATAGGGAATACGTGTGCATGCGTGTTAGACAAACAGACACAGCCCAAAAGCACGATAATGCCTGATCCCCTTCCTCGGCCCTCCAGCTCACCAGGCTCCCGGGGTCATGCCTGTGTGCCCTGCATGTCGCAGGCTGACCAGCCAGGGATTTGACACTGTGATGGAGCGTGCTACCAAGGCCACCACCCTGCCGAGCCCAGCCACAGCTAGTTTAAAACAGAAACAAGTGGGACCAGCAGTTAGCGTAATGGCTGTGTCGCTGGACTCCCAGATAGTGAACTGCAGTTCACATCCCGGACCTGGTGGCTTAAAACTCACTCCGGGCGCGTGTGCGTGTGTGCCCAAGATCCCGAGAGGAGAATGGAGGAGAAGGGATTGCAGCATAGCCATCCCCCCTGGGGGGTGATTTCTCACTTTCTGTCTCTATGTCTCTGTCTGTCGAGCGCACGCACCCTATAGCGAAAACCTCTCAAAAAAAAAAAAAAAAAACAGAAACAAGTATGTGTGACTAGTACATTTAAGAAAGAAGTCTGAGGTGACACTCTTTAAGAATCAGGTGAATCTTCAGGAAAAGAGCACCCATGTGGCTGAGAATGATTCCTGGCATCTTCTGAGATGAGCATTGCGAATCCCTGGGCCTTGGGATCCCAGGACTACTTCATTCCCATCCTACCCGAGGTGGGAAAAGTCATGACACATGGATTTTTTAAATTAGTATTACTTTTTAAAATGTCTCATAGAGACAGAAGTGAGAAAGCACCACCCATGGGGAATGGTCACACTGCAATTCCTCCTCCATCCTCCTCTCAAGATTTTGGGCACACACACCCAGTCACGTGCATGGTGTGTTTTTCTTTCTTTTTTTTTTTTTAGGAGTGTTTTCTCTATAGGTTGTGTGTGCTCACTGGAGAGACAGAAAGTGAAAAATCACCCCCCAGGGGGGATGGCCATGCCACAAGCCCGTCTCCATTCTCCTCTTGGGATTGTAGGCGCACACACTCATTCGCCTGGCATGAGTTTCAAGCTGTGGGTCCTAGACGTGAACCACGGTCAACCGTGTGGGAATCCTGTCCCTTAACCATCACACCACCTGCTGGCCCAACCTGGTGTGTTTTTCAAACCAGCATACTTGGAACTCAAACTGCGTAGTCAGCCATGTGGGATCCAGTCACCCTAATTACCTTGCCACTCACTGGTTTTTTTTGTTTTTTTTTTTTTGTCTTGTTTTGTCTTTTGACAAGTTGGAGTAAGTGTCACAGAGACAGAGCCTTCAGGGCCAGGCAGGGCAGTGCACTGCAAGGAGAGCCCTTGTGGAGGGGTCAGCTCAGCTCAGTGCTGGTGTCGAGGCCCGGAGCTACCAGAACTATTTCTTTTCCAAAAAATTGAGGAAACCAGATTTTTATGGAGAAGCTCAGGTTTGGGTTTTGTTTTTTTTTGTTTTTGTTTCTGTTTTGTTTTTTTCCCATAAGAGAGAGAAGGGGACGCTCAGCTCCAGCAGGATCAATGCTGTGCCCCACGCCCACCTCAGGCAGCCCAAACCATGGACACACACGTGCCCACCCAACAGGGACCCCTTGGACCCAAACACTGGGCCTCCCACATGGGTCCAGCACCACAGAACTGTATTACCACTCTGCCCCAACATGGCCCTGGAAGCTCAGTTTCTGATTGAATTCAGAACTGAAAAAATGCCTTGTGGACTGAACATCCCATCCATTGGCTGAAGCCCGCCCCTAGCTTGGCCCCTCTAGTTTAGCCCTCTTTGCTCAGATCAGATCACCTCCAGATGTCCCTCCCCAGAGTAGGACCTTCAGCCTCCCCTCGATGGCTGGCCCTCATGCATGTGGCATGCGGAGCGGAGCAGGGTCTGGACACGGGACATGGTGATGTTGGCGTGTCTCAGGCTGGAGGGTCTCTCTCGCTTCTCCCTGAACAGCTGCCTGTCTCCCTGCGCCCGGCCCACCCACTTCAGTCTCGAGAGCTTCAGCCATGAGCACAGAGTGTCCACTCAGCTCAGTCCTCTGTTGGGACCTGAAGGCCCCAAGCTCTAGACTTTGGCGGAGACAGGGAGCGCCTTAACATGCCCAAGCAAGCCTCTGATACCCAAATCCTTGCCTCTGCTTCATCCCAACAAGAGACGTGGAATACTCTCCTTCTCTTCATCCTGGCAGGTCTTTTAAGCAAATGGGCGGCAGGCACGGGAGACAGGCCCTCAACCGAAAGCCACCAGTCCTTAGCATACCACGGAGGATAGGAGCGAGGCCCTCACCTGGGTTCCTGCCGCTCCGTGTCCCACTGCGGAGCACACCAGGCTAGGCCCAACCTCTCCTCGGTGTGAGCTTCTACCAGGGCTCTGGGTGGACACAGCTAGCCAGAGACTTTTACAAATCAGATGTTTGTGATCCAGTGGGTCCACTGGAGGCTCCCGGAGTCATGCTTTGGGCCAGGTTAGTCCTGGGCCTTCCCTGCCCAGCCCTCTTCTTCCTTTCCCATGTGGGGAGAAGCCAGGCCGGATCGAGGGTTCAGGTTTCAGCTGTTCAATGTGAAGGCCAATGAGCATGCTCTTCTGGGACAAACAGCCAGAGGGAGGGTCTCCAGGGGCAGGCACCCCAAGACTAAGTGAAGAAACGGCTGAGGCATTTCAGCCCCTGACAGCAGGGACGGGGTGGGGCTGCAGCTGAAGGAATGTATTGGAGGAGGGTTTGGTGCAGCAAAGTTCAGGGGACCAACCTCGGGCATGGCAGGGCTGTTTGCCCTGAGTACCCCGGGGCTTCTGACCCATGGTCACTGTGACCCTGTAAAACCTCTCCCAGAAACAAGTTCCCCAGAAGTTTCTCCTTCCTTTCCTAGGTTTATCTAAATAAATAAATAGTTAGAAAGAAAAGAAAAAGAAAGATCCCATTTCACACTATCATGGAGTGAATAGAACAGTGACGTTCCATGCTCCGCACGGCCGGCTTCGCGCACTGAAGATAGTCCTATTATTAACACATTTCCTACACACTTTCCGGGAAAGTTGGGGTTACGCGTACCCCTACACAGCTCATCCTTCCCTCCCCTTCCCTGATCTCACGGCACTTCCGATGACAATGAGCAGTGAGGACATGGACTCTCAGTTCACGATTTGGTTTTATTTGGACCCAGGTTGCTGGACACGGGGCTGACACTGGCTGCCCTCTGGCTTGCAGACCGGTTGAGCATCATTTGGAGAGACGTAGCAGATCCTCATCCCCTGTAGACACAGAGAGGCTCAGGGAGGGTCAGTGGTGTGGGGCCTGGCTAGGGAGGCCTCCCCGAGAAGGGAAGACAGCCTGAGCCTTGGTCAGAGGGCTTTCACAGAATGATCTGATTTAGTTTAGGTGCTATTTCCCAGGGAGAAATTGAGGCACAGAAGCCTTCGATGGCTGCTGTTCCCTGGAGTTCTGCTGCTGTCATTGTGTCATCGTCATTATTAGCAGCTGCCATTGACTGAGTGTGACCCGCCTCGCCCCTCCATGCCAGCTGCTGCATCCCATATTATATAAAGGCCAGGGTCCATTGGGCACTTGCCCAACACGGCCAGCCTGAATATGGCCGCACCAGGGTTAGAGCCCACTCCACAGCCTGACCTGCACACCCTCGGCCAGAGTTTGGTGCCCCCTCCCAGCTGGGGTAAGGCTCCAGGCTTCCCATTCTCCAGATGGGAAGATGAGGCCCAGAGAGTGGATGGACTGTTCACCAGTAACAAAGCCCAGTTCTCTAGACCCCCAGCCCCTAGCAGAGATCTCCCTCCTGGACCCTGGAAGCCCCTTGGCCCAGCTGGGCCTCCTACCATCGCCAGGGACACCACAGTACTCCTTGCACTCCTTCTCTGAGTAGAACTTGTTCCCGTTGCCTTGGCAGCCGCCGTAGGTGAAGAGGACACACTTCCCCTGGACAGCATCATATGCCCAGAGCTCGACGGACTTTTGGCAGGGCCCACGGACGATGGGGAGATTGCAGGCCGCTGTGGGTGGAGAGGGCGTGGAGCATTCGTAACCTGCCACTGCTGAGCCAGGTCAGCCTCTCATCTAGAGCACCTCGTCCCTCTTTCACAGATGGGAAAACTGAGACCCACACAAAAGAAGAGACTTGCCTAGGATCATCGGTATGCAAATGTGGACTTCCAAGGATTTCTGGAAACTTGCACTGGAGTGCCGCCACTGGGCACCCTCTCCTGGCCCCCCATGCAGTTGGCAGGGGGTCTGCTGGGAGTACAGGGTGTGGGGGTACACAGTGCATAGGAGCAGGGGACCCACACTCACCCACAGTTCGGCAGGTCTGCAAACACTCCTTCTCCGAGGCAAAGTTATTGCCGTTGCCCAGGCAGCCGCCATATTGGAAGGTCTCACAAGCCATGGACGAGCCATTGTAGAAATACCTGGTCACAAGCCCCAGGCAGGGCCCTTCTGCGTGGGCCAGTTGGCATGAATCTGGGGGGTGGGGCGAGTAGCGGGCACTTGGTGAGTGCTTCCTGTGGACCCTCTACTGGTCTGGTTTTCACCTCTACACTATGAAGGATTATCATTTCATTTTATGGATGAGGAGACCAACTCCAAGAGGTGACGTGACTTGACTTGGCCAGGATGACATAGAGCTGAGATTCAAAATCACATCTGCTGGACTCCAAAACCAGAGTTCATTCCACTCCGTACTCTGAGGTGTTAGCAGTGACCCACAGACTCCCCATCCTCTGCATTGGGCGTGTCTGCCAAAGACTCTGTGAGCATGGTAGTCAATGGCCCATGCGTCAGCATCCATGCTAGCCAGCCAGGCCTCTTCACTGAGTCCCACCCACCCTCATGCCTTTACCCTAAAGGTTCTTTGCCCCGAACATCTTTTCCCTAAACTCTACCTAGACATAGCATGAATCCCCCTTCCTCCATGAAGTCCTCCTTGATCCTCTTACACTCTATCCTCTGAATTCCGTCAGCCCTTTAGCTGACCTTTTGTAGGGTCTATCATTCCCTTCCTTGACTGGCTCCCTTACTAGACAAGAAGGTGGCATGTCTCCATGTCTGCACACCCAGCACAGGCCAGGGTGGAGCAGGATTCATGGTTTGCTGAGCGACTCAAGAGTGAGGGTTTTTGTTTTGTTTTGTTTTGTTTTGTTTT